AGCTCTCATAGTGGTGTGGGGCGGTGGGGTAGCCTAGTGGTTAAAGCGTTGGCTCGTCACGCCGAAGACCCGGGTTCGATTCCCCACATGGGCACAATGTGTTAAGCCCATTTCTGGTGTCCCCCGCCGTGATATTGCTGGAATATTGCTAAAAGCGGCGTAAAACTAAACTCAGTCAGTCAGTCAGTCTCATAGTGGTGTCATCCGAATCAAGGTAGCGAATGTATGAGGCCAAAGTATTTATGTCTTACACCCTGTTTACGGTGGAGAACAGGTCTTTGATCCTGTATGAGCTGCTTAAAGTACTGTCGGAAATGAAAAAAACTGTTTTTTCGCATTTATATCAACAATTTATGTATTTAATATTTGAAAATGTGAAATATCTCTTAAATTAAGTTCGGCCTAACTACAGTCTCAGTGGTAGTGAGATAGGAAACGTAATAAAAGGACTTTACTGAGGAGAAATAAGTGCAGAAATGAGCAATGCCAATTGAACATTTAAATCTCAGAATTTTATTCAACTGATGATAAAAGTTGTTTAACAAACGAACATAGTTTCAAATCGCTATTGTTGGTTTGTATTACAAGGGGGTAAGCCCAGTAGTTCAAACAAAGTAATACAAACCAATAATAGTGATTTGAATCTATGATCGTTTGATAAACAACTTTTATCCAAAGTTGAATAAATTTCTGAGATTTATATGTTCATTTGGCAAGGTAAAATTATGAGGATTCGCAATCTTAATTTCACTTTATTTGATTAACTTTTTGTGTAAAGTGAAATTCATCGGTACGTTTTCACTGCAAACAGACTATAGTACCTATTAGAGCAATGCAGAAAAGTGACATTTACCAATAAGTGGATAACAATGATAGCAGCAGCAGCAACTGCAGGACAAACTACATCGAGGTCCTCCATATGATCTATGCTTGTTTTACATTGTAGATTCACGCCTGATCTATACCCATCTTCCGCGCATGAAGGCCTAATTAGTTTGCGTATATCTAGCTGTGTTAAAAATATATCATGTGCACATACAGGTCCTCCAAATAATGAGTCAACATACATTTAATAGTTTACTCACGAACATCAATATGATGTCAAACCTGCACATTGTTGTTTGTGTTGTTTTGTTGTTAAGTGATTTGTCACCGTTGTTTTCAGTAGGTTATTTGAACCATTGTTACTGAGCTGAAATTCAATACAATCATTGATTACCGACAAGGGGGGAAAACATCGGGGATCATATTTTTCATACGATGCCCTAGGGCAAGATATTACTGGTGATATCATGGTGGCGTGACGTCATGAACAATGCTATGACGTCACGTTTCTTCTATGACGCTGCGTTTTACATGCGGCGACGGCGGGTTCCCAGCAGATTTGGGTTTATTTTTCTCAATTTGATGACTTCGGTAATAAATAGAACATTATATTCGTGTTCATATCATTCTATGTTTTTGACACTGGTGCCTAAATATTGGCATATTCCTCGCTCTCGCTTCGGAAATACCAACATTTAGGCACTCGTGTCGTAAACATAGTATGACATGGTCACTCATATAATATCCTCTATGTGATGGATACCACGTAACGTCCAACCCATGAAGCCGTGAAGATCCGGGTTAGAATTGATCTTCAGCAACTCATGTCTGTCGTAAGAGGCGACTAACGGGATCGGGTGGTCATGCTCGCTGACTTGGTTGACACATGTCATCGTATCCCAATTGCGTAGATTAATGCTCATACTGTAAATCACTGTATTGTCCGGTCAAGACTCGATAATTTACAGACCGCCCATATATAGCTGGAATATTGCTGAGTGCGGCATTAAACAACAACTCAAATCCAAACCAAACCAAACATGCTGGAGAGTTGAATAGTCATAGCACACTGAATATCTAATATGGTATTGTAGTGTGCATTATTATGATACCATCTTTGTGGTTTATTTCTTTCATTGTTAATATCTAGATGCCGGAAAACTTCAAAGCCTGAAGGCATTACACAAGGGAAGAAGTGAACGCAATGGGTTTTGTCTGTAATGTTTTCATCAAACATGTGGGATGAACTTTGTCAGCTCTGAAACTTTGTCACAAACCTTCAGATTAAATCACTGTTATTACTTTGATTTTGCAATTGAAAACATAATTTAGAGTTGATAAGAGTTCCCTCTCCCCATATATTAATAATTCTCAACTCCCACCCTCTCCAATTAAAAAAATTGAAGGGGTGACAACCATTATTGGCATGAGTTCAAATATATTAAAAACAATTGTTTAAGTGATTGCCGTCAGGATGGATTATCAGATTAGAACAAACACACTGTCAATAAATACATTGGTTACAATCAAATATTCTTTTAAATCAAGAGGAAAATGAGCAGGTAAATGAATCAATTCAGCAAATTAGTCATGATTGAATTCTAAGAAATCATCCATGAATCAGAGATTGTGTTTAGACAAATGATGTAATGGATCACCATTCAATTTTATCACCATATTTATTACTAATAGCTAATTATCTACGACAGCTACATAACTGTAAATGACAGCTTAGTTTGATCCCAATGAAAATACAGCAAAACCTTTCGATAAACGTAAAACGTCAGTTGTAAGTTTCCGATGATGTCAGATATGTGTGTTCATGAATCACTATGAAACAGTAATGACAAAGTTTGAGTGAGTGAGTTTAGTTTTACGCCGCACTCAGCAATATTCCAGCTTATGACGACGGTCTGTAAATAATAAGTCTGGACCAGACTCATTGACATCGAGTACGGGTACAGCAGTGAAATGTCATCAGCCGGCTGTTTCAGCTGTCTCCCATGGTAGCATCTGGAACTGCTTATTAGTGACGTCATTCCGACTTTACGTCACAATATGATTTGTATGACGTTTACAATGGTGAATATTTTGACAATTACAAGGTTAACATGGTATGTACACCTAGCAAATGACTCGTACAGCAGCCTTTATGCTTATGTTTTCACATATATACTTTATCTCAAAGAAATAACAATATATTGGTAATATCGCTGATAGCAGTCGCAAAACAATAGTTTGCTTTTTTCATTATGTATCAGTATTTAGTTCCTTTTCATAACAGCTTCACTTTCTCGATTGACTGAACATTCTTCTATCTATTACTGAAGTAACCATATCTAAAACTGAGATCCAGTGAGGCCTGTTTGCCGTCGAATAAGCTACTGTTTAAGCACGCACTAACAATTTGTTTTCAACAGGTGCCATGTCAGTTGGTCTAGCTACTGGAATACACTGGCGCCACCTCGTTGTTTATATCGGCACCAGACCCTATTATATCTTATTTTGGCATTATCAGAATTGAAACACGAAAAGTAGTGACCGATGGCATGAACATCTAACCAACGGATATGACGACAAACAGAAGCAAACACAACACGTCTGAGAATACGTCCACAAAAATCACGTCTTTCAACGCGCCCTTTATGCACCAAAGCCATTGAAGACAACTCTCCCAATCTCCTCATAAAGGCTGTAACGATTGATCGTTCTATCGATGATTTGTGATTGCCTATTTGTCGACAAAGTGGCAAGAGATCCATGACATTTGGTATTGATATGGACAATTTCGACAGATGAAAAACAATTAAAATCGTAAAATCATCACGCCTTATTAATACCTTGCAATTTATTCCAGTTAGAACATATTCACACGTTCGCATCTACACCTGATAAGAACTCCCTCCTTTAAGATGGCTAACCAGATCCCTATCAATCTTCTGAACCTCAGAACTGAAGACATCGCTATGAACTTGTCATCTTTGGGAAAATGTCCAGAATACTACCCCAATGCTGTCGCAATAGCGACGCAACTATCTAACGCAATCACACAGCGGTTGTCTTGCATCACTACTGCAACAGTTAAAATGTCAAACACAACTTCGAGCAACCCACCACTCACCAAATAGAACACTGGTGTGCATAAAAAAATGGTAGATTATTTCAAGCGTTTGTAATGTTTAAAAAAACCCAGCGAGTTCAAACATCGTTATTATCCAATCACAAATTTAATCTGCTCGTATGATAGTTATTTGTTCTGTGGAACAGTTCCTGCCCTGGAATCACCCACGGCTACGTGATATGAGACGGTTTTACCACTATGCTGCGACATTCGTGCAAGAGTTAATTTTACCTCTAAAACCGTACATGACAAGGAGAAACATTTACGATACAAAGACTACCTGGCGTGTGCCATATATAGCTATATGCGTCTATTGATGGAGTCGGCTATGGCCAGAAGCATGCCCAAGCTATACAATAAGTCATACAGTCTTGTCTTGGTAGTGTAACTCATTCGATCCGGATTGACAGGAAAGAACACTCACTAAATACCACCAGTTCACGCATTCATTGTAAACCTAACATTGCTTGGGGAAAGGGCAACAAACTTCTCTCCGATTTGGAAGTTCTCATTAAGAGCAGCGGACCGTGCACAGGCGACAGCGAGCTTGTGGCAGATCGTGGTCCTCTAGACATCGACTGGCTGTCCAACCGCTTGCATTAGCATCTGTTATTGGTGGCTTGCGGATAAAAAAGGCATCCCGTTCTATTGGGCAAATTATTGAAGGTGATCTGGTGACGGGAAGGGGTTGACAAACAACGCAAACATTTCTGCAACTTATCTTGATGGTTGATCGATTACTAGCTCACAAAGCCGCCATCAGCAAACGATACATAAAATATGGTTCTTCGATACTCGTAGGGATATGATATCTTGTGAAGAATCCACCTATAGCTGGCAGGCGTCTGAACCCCCCGCGCTGCCACATTGTAATTAAGCGTACCATTACTTTGTTGGGATCGATCACGCTGGTACATGCATTTTCATGGGTTCCCAAATTGAGTTCGGAAACTCTTGGCAGACGACTTTCTGTGTGGCCAGCAGACGACAGTGAGAAAGCGCGGGAAAGGGACTAATATTGATTGTTGGGCGTTGGCTACACGGACCTGACACTATGACTCCCAACCCAGGCTTGCCAATGGTGGATGGAACAACTAAAATAATTGAAAAACCAAAATCTGAACCTGAGCGGGAATCATGGGGGAAGAAGACCGAATTCCTACTTTCAGTCATTGGATTTGCAGTGGATCTTGGAAACGTCTGGAGGTTTCCTTATATATGCTACAAAAATGGAGGAGGTAAGAATATACGCACCCACCAACACATCCATGTCCGTTAAGTGTAAGCTTGATAGTTTCTGAAAAGTTAAGTTTCCCATTTCGACAAACTTTAACTAAACATAGAAAAATTCCCCACTTCCCCTTTCGCAGGTGATAGTGGTTTAAGGAGCTTCTTTGAATCAACCTTATGTGTCATATCAAGTAGTGTGAAGGTTTTCTTTGACGTATATGTGATTTTCAGGAGACATAAGGTGTGTAAAGGAATCTGATAGTTTGGAAGTTTTCTTTGACATATATGTGATTTTCAGGAGACATGAGCTGTGTAAAGGAATCTGATAGTTTGGAAGTTTTCTATGCGTATATGTGCTTTTCAGGAGACATGAGCTGTGTAAAGAAATCTGATAGTTTGGAAGTTTTCTATGCGTATATGTGCTTTTCAGGAGACATGAGCTGTGTAAAGGACATCGGTTAGTTTGAAAGTCAAACGTACATGAGTGTTAATATAGCTTGTTTCCCATTTCTGATACTCTGTCTTACATTTCTACAAAATACATTAAAAACCAAAAGTATTTATCCGCAGCCTGGTTCCCTTAAAACTTCAGTTCTATATGTACCATCCTTGCGTCATCTAAAACATGAGTCGTCTTACGTCCCGATTTCATATTCTGCATTTGCAGTTCACTTCACAAAAATGTCTACGAATTATACTCTTGTTTTAGAAATATATCCAACACAGAAAAAAGGCACGATTGGTAAAATGTGAATTTTAATGTTTGTAACTCATGGGGATGAACAAGCATTACTGTATGTTTTATCAACAATGGACGAGCCTTAAGTACATAATAGTTTGAGTCATGTTCGTATGCCTTTGATAAATAACGTGCATATCTCCTGCGAAGCAGGTAAAATATTTTTTTTATAAGAGCAAATTCCTCCTTTAATTAAACTGCAGTGGGAATGTATCTCGGGAGGCATATACACAGGAACCATGGATCCTTCTTAAAGTTACCCTTACTTCAAGGCTGAAAAGAAATATATGAGTACCACCAACACATGCTGTTTTCACCAATATAATTCTCACTGAATCATTGTTTCTTTACAACTGACAAAATTGTTTTAAAAAGCACATGTAAAAATGCGACGGCAAACCTATTTACAATTGTGAAAAATCAGAAACTGATTTCCAGAATTAACGTTAGCAATGACGTTAGTCTTCTTGTATATGAGAAACAAAGCGGACTATTATCGACATCCTTTCTACAATCGCTTCAGAAGATTTATTTGTTTCGAAACAATGCCTCACTGACGTAGTGTACACCAATGAATATTACACGCTTTTCGTGAAATTCTAGTAAACAAATATTTGCCTTGTTCAAGGAAGTGTTTCCTTGTAAACCGAAGCTGCAAATATTGTGGAATGTATGAAACTGGCTTCTCAGTACATCTAAACACAAAACAATGGAAGTGCTAAAAGCCGCCTCAAGCACGTCAACACTTGGGCGGTAGTTTCAACACCAGAGTTCATAAAAGGTATAGTTCCTTCATTAACCCGTGAAAATAATTGCAAATTATCACGTATGCATTGATTAATCATCGAGAAGCCCTCATGTTAGCAAATGAACATTTGTACAGAACTATTGTCACTCGGGTAGAATGACACCATGTCTCACGCCTACTTGTAATATGGCCCTCAATTAGTTTACACAGTATGTGGGATTTATTTTCCAACTATTTTGTACATAAAACTAGAAACGCAGTTTGTGATTGGTGAGATGCCCAATATGGTAGCTGGTCGTTACGTTTTGGATAGCATACGCCCTTACAAATAATAATAATAATAATAATAATAAAAATAATAAATTTGTATAGCGCCTATTTTCCAACTTTGAGCTGCTCAATGGCGCTGAACAGGGTAGAGAATTTACATATCATATGCTTGATTAAACAGGAAAGTTTTTAGACAGTTCTGGAAGGATTTGTGAGAGCTTGCTGTTTTGAGTTAAAATGGTAGATTGTTCCACAAGGTAGGGGCAACTTTGGAGAAGGCACGATCAGCAAGTTTAGTGGATGTTGAGGGAACCGAGATATTGTATATATTCTGAGATCGGAGATATCGTCCTGGTGTATACATCTGGATCAGGTCCTTTAGGTAGAGAGGAGAGTTATCATTGTGCAGAGCAGCGTAGGTCAGTGATAAGACTTTGTACACCACCCTAAGCCGAACTGGGAGCCAATGTAATTTTTTTAGAACAGGTGTGATATGCTCACGAGGTTTGGTCCTTGTAACAATGCGAGCTGCCTTGTTCTGGATCCTCTGCAGATGGAATCAGGATAGTTTCCCTCCTGACGGGTTAGAGAAAGTCCCTGATATTCTTGCCTTTCGTAAGGTGGTCAGTCCGTCGCCAGGCTTGGTTAGCTGGTTGATCATCGCTGCCCCATGACAGAAGACGTTGTCTTTACGTCAGTCTATTGCTTGTCTGGTCCAAACTCAAATATCTGCATCTGCAGTCCCAGCTGAAATATTGAGGTCTGTCCCGGTAATCAACAAATCAACTAGATTGGATTTAAAGCGTCCGTCACTTTGATGGAAATCTGTCTATAGATCAGTCTAAAACCCTGACGGTTGAAGTTTTAAATTTCTAATGTGATTCATATTTGAATGTGAAAGAACAGACTGGCTCTTGCCGATCAATGTTCATCTTGCTGAGCGATAGAGGTAATTTTTAAAAAGATAATAATGCTGTAAAGTCACCATTATTAACGTTCCACCATAATATTCAGTCTCTTGAATATGTAATCCATCTTTGTTGAAACTGAACACTAACAAGTATTAAGTGAGTTCGAAAATGAGGATTGTGTATAATTCCCATTATAGCATCACATACTAAAAACAATGTATGAAATTACAATGTTACAATTCTTGAATCTGAAATGTGAATATCTCATCAAGAACGTCCAGAATCAATACATAATCATTTCTTTATTTGCATAAATGTTACAGATATACAGAGACAAGAATCATTATTTGAGTCAATAACCGCGTCTTATCCAGCGGCTACAGACAATAACTCCTAAGCTGTGTTAAAGGTCATTTGTCCACGAGATTTACTTAAGAGGAATCGTGTAAATATCAGTCCATAATGAGGTTTTGTGAAATACAACGTATGCATGCTTTAACAAAACGTCCGGCAAAATGTGTCGATGTATTTTTAGCCCATACTGGTGTCATAAGCATGTGCCCCGATGTCCAAATCCGTTGCAATAACGACATGACTTAGTAAACTGAAACGTCAAAGCCAGCCAGTAACCAGTCTAGATTATCTGCCAAAAGGGATTTCACTGAGAATAAAAGACAAAATAGTGATGAAAATGTATGAATCGATCACTCAAGAGTGATGCCACCAGATGTTTATGATAACTTAAAATGTCCGTCGTCGTTCGACTCGACCGCCACAATATTGTTGGAATATTGCTGAGTGCGGCGTAAAACTAAACTCTCTCACTCACTCGTTCGACTCACCAAACTGTCACAAGTCAGTAAATGTGTGTTTGTTGCTTAGAGCCTACTGAAATGTTCCATGCAAGGACAAATACGACAGGGGAACCTGGTGGTACACACAATGTAAGTTCTTTCACTCTTTACTTCAGGGACCTGTGAAGGTCCGGGTTAGAATGAACCTGCAGTAACCCAAGCTTGTCGTAGGAGGCGACTAAGGGGATCGGGTGGTCAGGCTCACTGGCTTCGTTGACACATGTCATCGGTTCCAAAGATCGATGCTCATGCTGTTGATCAGTGGATTGTCTGTTCCAGACTCGATTATTTACAGACCGCCGCCATATAGCTGGAATTTTGCCGAGTGCGGCGTAAAACTGAACTCACTCACTCACTTTAATTCAGGGTTTGATTCATCACATAGTTTCATGATAGTACTTTATAAAAACGACACAAGCCTTTATAAAATCAACCTGTACCTTAAATGAATCTGACCATATCACAAACTAACTGTTTCTGAAAAACTATAAAAATTAATGACATCAGGTATTATCAATGACGGTTATCTGTGCACTAGTGAGGCTCGCTACAAATACATGCAAAGGTAAGTCAACTCAAGTAACCTCACGAATAAACACGTAAATACGTCAAAAACGGGTTCAACCCAATTTTGAATACTAATGCGTCCAATTGTAATTATAAATATGCCGCAATGTCTACCATGAACAGCTGTGAATGCTAAACCAAGGCCTTGAAATGTGTAACTTTGATCACACACTTTTGAGTTACCGTCGTAGAATTAAATATTGCTCAGCCAGAGGAGGCTGAAGCCAAGTTGAAGGATGCAGTATATTGTAAGACAAACTTACATACGTTCCACATTGCTGCACAGACATGGAACACTTTCAGCAGTTTATTTAAACATCATCTGTATCAGATATGAACATGGCGTTAATAGGAGCTAAACGGGCGCCTATTTGCAATACGGAACGCCCATTGGTGCTTGTAATCTTGGAACTAACACAGCTATAGAATACCATTCTGTCCATGTAAATGTGATCCTGTGAACATCCGTGTACAGTTTGACGTTCATGTCAATATTTGAGAGAGAATTTAGTTTGATTGCAGGATAACGTTACATGGGTGTTCATAAACATCCATAAACTTTCGAAGGAGACAACAATGTTAACATTGAAATATTCTGTAGTTGATTACGGATGTAAAACACATATGGGCTGTCAGTTATATCAGCAATTGTATGTCATTTTCCCTGAAAATCATTTTAAAATAGGTTCTGAAGCTCACTCAAAGTATTTGTTGAACACAAGCCTCCTCCCCCACTCTCTTTTGAATGATAACAGCCAACATTGACATTTGTTTTCAACAATGGGGCATTCAGCACTGATTACCTTTTGAACAATCCAGAAGTTGTCGTTCTTGAACCTTGACATGACTTCCGGGCCGTTCAAATTTTCATTTGGGACAGAATAAGATCGATTCGTTTTATCCGTGTTCTTTTAATGAT